GCACCAGGCATGCACATGGTGTGTGTGTGTGTGTGTGTGTGTGTGTGTGTGTATAATATTTACACACAAGTAATATATATATTATATATATATAAATATATATTATATATTTATACACACACATATATATATACATATATATATATAAACCCCCATACACATAAGATGACAACAATAATTTGTCTCATTGCTTTTGTTATATTCTTTGGTTAATCAACTGTATTTTCTAGAGCTTTTATGGTAATAAATAGTAAGGTTTAAATTTATTACCATTGAAGCATGATTAATAAAAACTCAAAGAGAGAAATTGGAGTTCAACCTGAAGATCCGAAAAGTAAAGCAGCCAGCCACTGGCTCTTACTTCGACCTCAGTCAGAAATGGCAAATCTGCCTCCAGGAATCGCAGAGTGAGACTGTGTGTAATTGCTCTTTCCTCCCGTGTTATAATCCTCTCTAGGTCTGGGATTAAAGGTGTGCACCACTGGGGTTAAAGATATACACTGCCTGGTTTCTATGGCAACTAGTGTGACTACTAAGATTAAAGGTGTGCGTGACCACTGCCTGGTCTGTAAGGATGACCAGTGTGGCTGTTTTACTTTCCAAATCCCCATGCAAACTTTATTTATTAAAATACAATTGAAATGCCACTATATACCATAAAGGTGTAAATCATTTTTTTTTTCCGATGGACAGAAAGAATTTCAGAGGAATACACTGGATTAAAACTCTTGGCGAACAAGTATCTGGAATGTACTACAAAGAATGATTTGTCTTTAACTATATACTAGGGTTTCTCAGCAGTGTTATGATAATATTTAGGTTAAACAGTTCTTTCTTTTCCTGGAATGTACTGCCTTTGCTGGATGGTGTTTAGTAACACTCCTGAATTCCACCCACCCACCGGATCACAGCACCATCTTCCTTCCCAGATTAGGCAGATGGTCCCTATATTCCCAGTTCATCCTTAGAGAGATGGAGAAAACCCTTTCCCGAGTCTGTACACATAGGATGTGCGCCGTCTGAAACCCCAGAATCATCTTCTATTTGGAGTGTTCTGGGTCCTTGAAAACCTAGCTCCAGGCTTCCATTTTGGGTCTTCACAGAATGCTGGAAGATTTATGTTGTGGTTTTAGGACAGGACTTGTTTTCTCTCCCATTCCCAATTATTAGAACATATTTTCTGACAGATAAAAATTACAATATTCTATAAATCTTGTATTGATAGGATTTCTGAAAGGAGAACTCTCTAGATAATTGGGATACTTGTAATAAACTGAATTTTCTATGCAGTTATGATTTATTTCACTTGCTTCTATTTCAGGACCTTCAGAACAGAATGGCTACCAAGGACTCCAGAATCCTTATCCAGGGCCCCAGGCTGGCTTTCAAGGGCCCCAGGGTCCATATCCAGGGCCCCAAACTGGCTACCCAGTCCCACCAGGAGGTTATCCAGGTGCTGGCCCAAGTGGCTTTCCTGTCCAAAATCAGCCAGCATACAATCATCCAGGTGGGCCTGGAGGGGCTCCGTGGATGCCAGCACCACCACCCCCACTGAACTGTCCACCTGGGTTGGAATACTTAACTCAGGCAAGTGTATTATATGAACTATTCATGAATCAAATAAATTAAGTGTCTAAGCTGGAGTATGGGACAAAAAAAATCCATGAAAGTCTGAAATAGAAAAATAACATTTTATACCACTAGATACTTGTAATTCTTCTAGGTCAGATTCAATTTTTAAGGAGAGCATTAGTGTGCATAGTAATTGTGTTTTCTGTAATTTTGAATTTACCTAAAAAGTGGTTATTAATCACTATTTTCAGTTCACTTTTTCTACTCAGTTCGTGTATTGTTTCACTGAATCATTATAGGAAAGTCTCTGATATACAGGAGTTATAATTACCATGTTTCTCCAAAGGAAACTACATGGTATAAAAAAATTGTATACTTTGTACACAATTGTGGGCCTTGCCTCCTGACCTGGACTTTGGTACTGAACTGGATGTTCCTTAAGGGTGACCCCTCTTATATGACTCATATGTTTACCTCCAGTAAAACTCCTATCTACACTGTTGCTTATGTCCTTTGGGTGCTGCAGCTCTTTAAATCCGACAGATAGAAAATAAAGCCATGATGACGCTGCACCACATGACAGTGAGTTGCTGCAGTGTTGTTTTTCCATCGGCACAGAGACTAAACTTTAATCTGCTGCTGTTTTAGCCAACAAACGCAGGTCCGCGGCTACTGGCCTCCTGCCCTGGCAGTGGCTCAACTGTTCAGACTGTGGCCTGGCAGGGATTCTGTTCCCATGGGCATTGGCTCTGGGCTGCTACCAGATATAGCTTTACATTAAATCTCTGTTGTTTTGTCTACCAGTAAGATTCGGCTGTCAAAAACTGGGGTGAAAGCCTGCTCGCTCAGAGAGGCTGAGTAGCAACTAGCTGACCTTCTCACTTTCTTGGTGTCTCCGAAAGAGATCATCCTTCCACTCTGTCAAAACAGAAGAACCTAATCAGACACTTTGGGACTCTCTATGATTATTTTCTGTCAACTAGTTGCAAACTTGGTTTTCTGACCCAAAGATGATTTTATTTAATTAATGCAAATGCAAACTAGGGGTTCACGGTGTGATCGTATATCTCACAATACAGCAGTATGACTGTTAGCATTTATTTGATAAAAGAAATTAAGAGAAATGAGAGTAAAAGTATGTCCAATGGATAAGCTTCTAAGCAAATAGCCTTGTGATGACTGTCCAGTTCTCAGACAGCCAGGTATCTCTGTAGATACTCTGTGTGAACTTAATTTCCCACAAATTATTCAAAGGTGTGGGATGGGGAAGTTCATCAATTGTTTGGTCATAACATAACGTCAAAATAGGTATTTATTAAATTAGGATCCTACATATACCAGGAAAAATCTACCCATACTACAAATGATGACATTGGTCACACATGCTATTTTTCCACCTTGTAGAACAGAAGTTATAAATAAATTGAAATATTATAAATATTCCTTGAGAAACTTTTAGAAAGAGTGCTGTTTTATACATACAGAAACTGGTTATAAATCAGATGTATTTGACTAAAATGTTATCTTATAGTAAAGAATGTCCACAAGTGTTTTGAAAATTTTAAAAATATTATCTTTTAAATGAAAAGCAATACAAATATGAAACATTGATAACTAATTTCAGACACCTATTCTCTCTTTGTAACAGATAGATCAGATTCTGGTTCATCAGCAAATTGAACTTCTGGAAGGTGTGTATGCCGTGTAATGATGGTGTTTCTAGAAGTAAAAGCAGTTCGTACAGTTCCAGGCCTGCCAGTTGCTTTCCCTACAGCAGTCTTTGGTGGGAGATTCAGCTCGGAGCTTACAGATGTGTCTTGCAGTGGTTCTTCACCTTCCTAGTGCTCTGACCCTTTAATACAGCTCCTCATAGATTTATAAGCTTTAAGATACTGTAACGTAAATAAGTCGTGTGTGTGTGTGTGTGTGTGTGTGTGTGTGTGTGTGTGTGTAATTCTAAAATATATTAGTTTTCAGTGTGTAGGACTTTTAAATACAAGATGTACTTAATTTTCTTACTTTTACAAAAATGACATTTTATTTAATTTTTCATGTTCTTTGTAACACTAAAGTAATGAAATTACTCAGAATTTACATTTTTAGTGTGCATCATGCATTACTGACATTTCTGTAATCAAATCTAAATATACAAAAATGATATAAAAAAACTTTTGACAGTTTAAAGTTTCACTTTTTTTAGTAATTACAAGGAAAATTAGAGACTGTAAAATATTTTTATATTTCGTGGCCAAGCTCAAAATTTCTGAGGCTAAGATATTAAAAGAGCCATAGATAGGATAATAATTTTCTACTAGAAATCAGTTGAATGACAGCCAAGTATTGAGAGAAATTCCCATAATGAAGAGTTCAGGGACTGTCTCAGCCCCGCCAAAGGCACTTCAATGAGTTCACCATGACAAAGAACATCTCCAGTTGCCCAAAACTCCTTGCACATAGATGGCATACGACTCTTGAGCTTCTACAAATTTTAAATAATTACCTGTGGGTTTTGACATTTTTCTAATGAATCATGACTCTGGGATCAGAGGGCTATGAACAAGGAAGGACATCTATTCTGTCTTCCTAGCTGGATAGAAAGAGAAGATCTCCGTGTGAGAGTTAGTACAGCCAGGCCCATCACTTGAAGCACTGTGGGTAGGAGGACTTAGCTTCACTCTGTCCGGCCACGATAGCATAACTTTGTAGGCTGTGCATGGAAGGGGTGGCTACTAAGCACAATGCCTCTTGTCTAACACCCCCCTTCCACTTTGAATTTATTTCTGAGCTAAACATTATTTATTCTCTGGCCCAATGTCCTTTGCAGACTCACTTTTGTTTTCACTCTCCTTTTTCACAGCTGTGCTTTTAGAAGAATTCTTCTCATTCCTTTTGCTCAAATTCAAATGGCAGGGAAAAGTGTGTGTGTGTGTGTGTGTGTGTGTGTGTGTATCAAACCATGGATTCAATTCATAGACTATAAATATAGCAATCACTCTGTAAGCCCTAAAGCTAAACTCTGCCAGAAGAGATGACTGGGCATTTCTGCACACACCTCGCCCCACCTTCCCCCTCAGCACTGCACCTCCACAGACACTGAAGCCCCCTTGTGATACAGTCCATGGAGGTGGACATGCAGCCTGATCCCTGAGAAAGTCTCACATGGACATATTTTCTTCTCCCCTTAATATTCTCTTCTCCCACTGCCATGTCCCGAGTCCAGATCATCTCTCCACGGCTTGTCTCCCACTTCCTGCTGCTCCCTGCAGTCTCAGGCACCCTTCCCATTGTTACTTCAGGAGAGAGTGACTGTTCCTAACAAAGTGGTCAAAGGGACTTCCCCTGTGTGCTTCCAGTCTTAACAGGCTTTGAAACAAATAACAAATATGAAATCAAGAACAGCCTGGGGCAGAGAGTTTATTTTGCTGTGGAAGATACGGACTGCTGCACTCGGAACTGCTGTGGAGCCTCTAGACCCTTCACCTTGAGGATCCTGGATAATCTGGGCCGTGAAGTCATGACTCTGGAGAGACCCCTGAGATGCAGTAGCTGTTGCTTTCCCTGCTGTCTCCAGGAGGTCAGTGTGATGTTCCCATATCAACTGAGAAGAAGAACAACAGAGTTTTCAAGAATACATTAACCCTGGATGGTATGGCTATGGTTCCACTCAACATGCACTCTTGCTTTTGTAGATAGAAATCCAAGCTCCTCCTGGTGTGCCCGTAGGTTATGTGACTCAGAACTGGCACCCTTGTCTGCCAAGGTTCACTCTTCAAAATGAGAAGAAGGAGGATGTTCTAAAAGTCGTTGGTCCTTGTGTTGTGTGCACCTGCTGTTCAGACATTGACTTTGAGGTAAGAAATATCACAACGTTCATAGGATGTGCTTTCCTGACATGAAAAGAATTTATCTCTATAGGATGTTCCTAACGCATTATCTAAATAGTGGGAACTGGTGTGTGCTCATCTGATTAATGATTAACTGACTGATTAAAGGTCAGTGTAGATAAAAAGCAGAGTTCTATAGTGGGGGCCAAAAAGAAGGAAAGAAAAGTAATAAAAAAAAATCCAGCATTTAAAATCTTCGTATGTTTTGGTGAGGAGATAGCCCAGTTGACCAATGCTTGCTGTACAGGCATATTATTCTGTGGTTGGATCTGCAGCATCTGAGTGCAAAGCATGGCACAGAGGCACATGCCTATGTTCCACTGCTGGAGAGATGGAGACAAAAGACTCTGGGGCCGGGTGCCGAGCTGCATCAGCAGTTGAGGACTCAGGCTCAAAAATAAGGTTGTGAGCAGTAAACCCTGTGTCTAAAGACTTGGCTTCTACACAAACGCATGCTGGCATGCACATACATAAACAGCTACACACCCAGTATACACACACAAACACACTCACTTCTGTATCTTTATACTTTGTTTCATACTTTTTAAGTAGAAGAGTAACCAAGCCACTAACGTGGGTTTCCTAGGCCCTTTCTTTCTTTTTCCCTCGTTCTGCATTCCAAGCTTCTGCTGTTCTACGGAAAGTATGCACTCTTGATTTTTAGAGTTCTGACCAAGATTGCAGTGTGCACTGTCCTGAGAAGAGGTGGATGACAGTCATTTGCATATATGCCACCTTGTTACACGGATGCTGAGGACCCAAATGCAGATTATCTATGCCTTATTGGTGACAGTTTCAATGTAATTAGTTTAAAAGTTTTTTATCTTTTCAAGGTTTTACTTTTCACAGCTTCCACTGCCCGTAGTCAACAGTGGCTCTGGAAATATCAAATGGGAGGTCCCAGAAATAATGTTTACAAGATGTAAATTACGCCCCATTTCCAGTAGAGTGAACTACCTTCAGGCTGTCCTGCTCTATCCTGCTTGGATGTGTTCCATCTTCCTGCACATCCTCCACAAGATCTTCCATGAAGCATCTCAAATCTCAGTCAGAAACCCGCTTTTCTGCTCTCTCACTGATGACCAAGGAGCCTTTATGAATTAGCCCAGTGGTTCTCACCCTTCCTGACGCGGCCACCCTTTAATACAGTTCCTTGCATTGTGCTGACCCCAACCATAAAATTATTTTGTTGCTACTTCATAACTGTAATTTTGCTACTCGTATGATTTGTAATATAAATATATGATATGCAGGATATCTGATATACAACCCCTGCGACATTGTACTTCCATAGGGATCATGACCCGCAGGTTGAGAAACCATTATCCTAAAACAGTCACATGACCTCTTCAGCCTTTATTTCATTTCATCTCACTACTTCATTAAGGGAAGGATTAATAGAGAACAAGATCCTTTGAGAGGGACACCCATGCCTGTAACTTTCATCATAGGATATTATCATATTTTTCTATTTTACTAATGCTTCTTTTAAAACATTTAGTTTTCTTCATTTATACAATACACACTATAACAGGACTGTATGAATGGTAAATTATTTTGCACTTGCTAATTACTGGTTTGTATCTCCAGTATCGTCAGTCTTGGTTTATATGGCCCTCTATACCTGACTATAATGTGTAAATGACAGCTATTGCATATAAGATGCTAAGTTGTTACAAAAGAGCATTTGCTTTAGAGCAGTTTATCACCGTGTCATATCTGATACAACTCTAATGGCTCATGACTTCAAACTGATATCGCTATGCTCACATCATGGCCTTTAGTCCAAGTGAGTTTCTGTGCATTGATGGAAGCTCATCTCGATGGCTCTCACGTGGAACAGGAAGTGACCTCCCATCTGCTCAAGGAAAGTGTGTCCCAGGACTGTACCCACAGCAGCTCAGTGGGTGACACTGCTCATTGGATGCACATCAAGGCCAAACAAGTTGGCCTTGGTGAACTCTCAAGTCATCTGCCACACCCTGGCATCAAATTAGACATAGGAGAAAACCTAATTCTCAAGGAAGAGAAAGTGTACTCTGCCCAGTGTGGGTGTGGAATGAAAGAACTACTCTATGAGCTATGGTTTGTGACTTTTCATTCACGGTAGAGATAAACATCAACACATGCAAGGTGTCATCCTCCTGCAGCCACACCAAGATGCTGACTGCCTCTGAATGTCCCTCTGAATCTACTTGGTAGATTCTGTCTGAGGCAAGGGATTTAAAGGAGGCTGTTCCCTCCTTTGATGCGTTTTGTAGGTTTGGAAATGACACCCCCACTCCTGCTTTGACTGAAGTCTGTGTGTACATACTTTGGTGAGCATCCACGTGCCCTCTGTGGAGTGGCTTTAGTTTGTGTCCTACCTGTTCTACTATAAATTCGGCCCTGGGCTTTCCTCCCACAGAGCCCCCAAATCAGAACCTTTTTCACACTGGAAATCTGATTCCACACACTTCTTGCATTGTTTTACTCCCCATTTGTTATCAAGTCCTACCCTACCTCTGCCCTGGGAGCCTTCCTTGGAGATTCTCATTGGTCTCTTCCACTCACAGTTGGTCTTTCTTGGCTTTTGCATCTCACGCCCTGCATGTGGCAATGAGCCTTTACCCCATTTAAATGGTCAAGACCAGAAGAAAGCAAGCTTCTTTTTTTTTTTGAAAGTAATTGTATTAAATTATAAAAGTTTCCATTTCCACCCCTCCTCCCAACACCCTCCCACTCCCCCCACTCCCTCTCCTCCTCCCTCTTAGTCCCTAAGGGCAGTCAGGGTTTCCTGCCCTGTGGGAAGTTCAAGTTCCTCCCCCCTCCCTCCAGGTCCAGGAAAGCAAGCTTCTTGAAGTGGCATTTGAGCAGCGGTTGTATTATTATTTTCCCAATAATAGAAATAATCTAGACAGTGAATCAGTGAGGTATTAAAAGGTTTTTCTATTGAAATTTGTTTTGCCTTAAATGTAAGAATTTGTATTGTCTGTTCCTGTTGGAACCAGAGAATGTTAGTTTTGTCAGTATACAACTAATAGTTGTAAGGACCTACAGTTTATATAATGTAATGCAATATTTGTTTCATTGAGTCACAGCTTCGGAAGCATATCTGTTTAGTTTTTGGAAATGCTTATGACTTTATTTTTGCTCTGCAGCTCAAATCTCTAGATGAACAATCTGTAGTTGGCAAAATTTCCAAGCAGTGGTCTGGTTTAGTGAGAGAGGCCTTCACAGATGCAGATAACTTTGGGATCCAGTTCCCACTAGACCTTGACGTGAAGATGAAGGCTGTGATGCTTGGAGCGTGTTTCCTCATAGTAAGTCGGTTCCCACTGGTCCTCTTTATCGGTCGCTTTCCTAGTGTCGTTTCAAAATCATTCACCAAATTTTGTATTCCAAAATGGCATAGGAAATGAACAGGTTCTTATATCAGTACTCACCATTCAACTTGGTCTGAAATTCCATTTAAGATGACACTGGGCACACTCTAGCACAGTTGACTGAGGAGACTGTTTGCCCATAAGACTTGGGGCTTAGAGTTATTCTAAGATTCAAAATTGGTGCTTTGGGGAAGACGGCCGCTTTTTAGGCACAGACAAGGCCTTGAAGAATTTAATTAACTTGTTCGCTTAAAATTAGGCAAACTTGTTGGAAATCCGGCCTTACAAAGATAATCCTGGTGACTGTGTGAGAAATCCTGGTGACGTGAAAGGAAGCGGCACTGCAATGGTTCAAGCCGAGCGATTAGCAAATGACTAGAAGGGGAAAGGAAAATAAGAGAGATCCAAGAAATAAAGTCTCCATGATTTGATAGAACTCATGGAGGAAATGTCAGGTTAGACCTGCACAGGACAAAGCGGTCTGGGGAGACAGTGAGCCTGTTCAGGAGAGAGCTGCTGACCCAGGGCCAGTGGGCTACACACCTCCTGCTGAGAAGCTGCAGCAGTCCCAGGTCCAAAGCCAAATGCTAGAGACATTCCATTCCTAGAAAGGACTAGCAAGAGTTGAGGGCGTAAGATAAAAATAATTTGGGGGTGGGGGGCGGGTGTATGAAAAAATGATATCTGGAGTATTTATCAGTACCTTAGTGAGACTGGTCTGGAGCAGAGCAAAGGCAGAAGGGGTGAAATGATTGCAATTGAAAGGGAGAGGGGGAAGGCAGAGCTCGCATGGCTGTATTTTCCCACTGTTCTGATGCTGCTGAGTTTTTATACCATCCCTTTGTATGTAGGGATTATTCTCTGATTGTTGAAAATTCTTTTCTTTTTGTCTCATTCAGGATTTCATGTTTTTTGAAAAAACTGGAAATGAGGACCAAAGAGCAGGAGTATGGCAGTAGTTTCGTGAGATTCCTCAAGAGATTTAAGGACTTCATTCTGGTGGATACTATCTAAAAGAACACACATGCCTTTTTTTCTTTATTGAAATAACTGTGTCAATTAACCTATTATGCCAGTATCTCCTGTTGTACAATTGTGTTTTCGAATTATAGTTTATTTTCTATGCTTCTGTCATGTAGTTGTTTTTATACACCCTTAAAGTGTTCACTGTGAATTAGTAAGAAAATATATGAATGTTTACACATAGAAATGAGGTTGTCTAAGAAAAATGCTTTGACTTACAATCTTTGATTTATTTTCCATTTTATAAAAACTTAAATGTTATTGTAATTTAACATGAAATTACATATTAAATGTAATTATAATTTATACAAAAGGCCTGATGTTAT